GTCTGATTCAAGATAGCCGAATGGCGGCCATTTTTGTGCTAAAAAATCATCAAATCAAGCATTTCCGGCTGTTTACAGATGGACTTTGTTCAAACCTTGTATATACGTTGGACATTATAGGACTTTGATGAACATCATTTTGTTTTACGATCTTATTCTTATTTTTGTGCTAAAAAATCATCAAATATCAAGCGTATCTGGCATTTATGGATGGATTTCGTTCAAACTTGGTACACACATTAGACATTACGGATTTCTGATGCACGTCATTTTATTTTTCAGATCAGATTCAAAATGGCTGACTGTGGCGGCCATTTTGTTTTAATGATTGGGCTTCTAGAGTCATATCTTTTAAATGCTTTGACTGATTATATTCAAATTTTATATATTCGTTATACATCATGTTATATATATATATATATATATATATATATATACATGTATTCAAAATGGCTGATTTTGAATGCTGTTCCAGAGCAATATCTCTCAATATGGACAATTACTTGTTTGACGATCAGATACAAATGTCAATCATTTTAAATGTTAAAAAGTCATATTCCTGACATGGTTATATTCCAGCTATATTACTATAAACAAAGCCATATATTTTAAATTTGGTAACTAACTGGGACTGTGCCATGCATGGTTTGTTTTAGCTGGAATTCATTTTCACTGAAAAGACTTTTTAGGTGTTTTGTATGGAATTTATTTTAACTGATTTGTGACAAGTTAAATGTAAAATATAGGACAAAATGCATATTCGCTTGATTTTATTTTCACTGAATCATTCCTTCAGCAAAAATTAATTCCAAGCGAAAATAAAGTATTTTACATTACTTTACAGTACACATATACATGTAAAATACATTGTGTTGTCAGTTATTCAAAAGAATACATTGTCATTTTAAACTTCCCAGATTGCATCGGTTCTGAACTTCAGTCGTCATGTAGCACTAAGTTTGATGAGAAAGGGACAAAGAATTGGGCAGTTAACGGAGTATAGCGTAAAGTTGATAGAGGAGAATATGGCAAACTTCATCGTGGATCAAGGAGGATGGGTACGTAAAGGGTTAATGAACGGTTTTCGTTTACTGCGAGATTTTGCATATTGCATGAAAGCCACGAATGCATGAACGTCTGCGAAAACAATTGAATGATTTGATTTTTTTTAATTCAATTTAGAAATGCTTATTTTTCAGAAAGGAATATGGCATCAAGATATGCCTTACATATACATGTACTTATACTTCATCAAAATTGATCATCATCAAATGTGTATAGCTAATTATTAAGCATGGAAATATCACAAATATTTTCAGGTTCCATGCGATGTTTTGGCGTCACTTCAACGCTTTGACCGTTGTTTGTCCTGTTTTTACATTCAATTTCACGCATAACACAATATTTCGCAGTGAACGGAAAATGAATTTATGTTTTTATTGCTAGTTTTTAAAATCTTGGATGAAATAAATTCATAATTCTGAATTATGTATATTAATGAGCTAATTTGCATAACATTAATGATTTGAGCATTAATAACATCTTGAAACAATATATGGTAAATATGAGAATAATTTAATTCAGATTTATGCATAATGATCACAAAATTTGCATATTGGTTTTGTGAGTAAATATCACGATAGTAGATGACCAATTGTTCTGGCTTTTGTTCTGAAACAGGAACATGCTTCTACTCACAAGTAGTTTGATTGGTTCCCTGCAGTGAAAGGGA